TTATTCCTAGGTATTTTATGGTTTTTTGTGCAACTGCAAATGGGATCAGTTTCTTGATTTCTCTTTCTGTTGCTTCATTGTTGGGGTATAAAAATGCAACCAATTTCTGTCCATTGATTTTATACCCTGCAACTTTGCTGAATTCATGGATCAGTTCTAGTAGGCTTCTGGTGGAGTCTGTCGGGTTTTCTATGTAGAGTATCATGTCGTCTGCGAAAAGTGAAAGTTTGACTTCTTCTTTGCCAATTCTGATGCCTTTTATTTCCTTTTGTTGTCTGATGGCTGATGCTAGGACTTCCAGCACTATGCTAAACAACAGTGGTTGAGAGTGGACATTCCTGTCATGTTCCTGATCTCAGGGGGAAAGCTCTCAGTTTTTCCCTGTTGAGGATGATGTTAGCTGAGGGCTTCTCATAGATGACTTTTATGATGTTTAAGTAAGTTCCTTCTATCCCGACTTTCTGGAGGGTCTTTATTAAGAAGGGATGCTGTATTTTGTCAAATGCTTTTTCTGCATCTATCGACAGGATCATACGGTTTTTATCTTTTCTTTTGTTAATGTGATGTATCACATTGATTGATTTGTGAATATTGTATCAGCCCAGTAACGCTGGAATGAATCCCACTTGGTCATGGTGGGTATTTCTTTATATGTGCTGTTGAATTCGATTTGCAAGTATCTTGTTGAGGGTTTTTGCATCCGTATTCATCAAGGATATTGGCCTGTAGTTCTCTTTTTTTGCTGGGTCTCTGTCTGGCGTGGGAATCAAAGTGATGCTGGCTTCGTAAAATGAGTCTGCAAGTTTTCCTTTGATTTCTATTTTTTGGAATAGCTTGAGAAGAATGGGTATTAATTCTGTTTTAAATGTCTGGTAGAATTCTCCAGGGAAGCCATCTGGCCCAGGGCTCTTATTTGTTGGGAGATTTTTGACAACTGATTTGATTTCCTCACCAACAGACACATGAAACAATGCTCAGCATCCCTCATCATAAGGGAATGCAAATCAAAACCACACTGAGATACCACCTCATTCTTGTCAGAGTGGCTAAAATGACCAAATCAGAGGACTCTGGATGCTGGCGAGGATGTAGAGAAATGGGCACCCTCCTACATAGTTGGTGGGAATGTAAACTGGTGCAACCCCTCTGGAAAACAGTGTGGAGGTTTCTCAAAAAATTAACAATAGAACTCCCCTATGACCCAGCTGTAGCACTGCTAGGAATTTACCCAAGGGATACAGGAGTGCTGATGCATAGGGGCACATGGACCCCAGTGTTCATAGCAGCACTCTCAACAACAGCCAAAACATGGAAAGAACCTAAGTGTCCATCAACTGATGAATGGATCAAGAAGATGTGGTATATTTATACAATGGAATACTATATCGCAATGAGAAAGAATGAAATCTGCCCATTTGTTGCAACATGGATGGAACTAGAGGGTGTTTTGCTGAGTGAAATAAGTCAGGCAGAGAAGGACAGATACCATATGTTTGCACATATAGGTGGATTAGGAGGAAGCTAACAGAGGACCATGAGGGAGAAGAAGGGGAAAAATAGTTGGGGAGAGGGAGGGAGGCAAACCACGAGAGACTCTTGAATGCTGAGAACAAACTGAGGGCTGATGGGGGGGGAAGGGGAATGGGGGTGATAGGCATGGAGGAGGCCACTTGTGGGGATGAGCACTGGGTGTTATATGTAAACCAACTTGGCAATAGACTATTTAAGAAAAAAAATTTAATCATCAGTGTAAGAACTAAAATTACAGAACTTCTTAAAGCAGAAGAGAAAATCGTAGTGTATCTAAGCTAAGCAGTTCTTCTTAAATAGAGAACAAGTAGCATGACTTATAAAAGAAACCAAATGGATAGGTTGGACTTCCTCAAAATTACAACACTTGGTAAGTTACTTCTAAGAAAATAAAAAGGAAAGTCCTATATTGGTAAAAATATTTTCAAAACATGTATGTGGTAAAGAACTTGTATCCAAAATATATAAAGAGCTTTCACAACTCAAGAAGACAAAGAAGTCAGTTAAAAAAAAAAAAAAAAGGGCAAAAGATCAGGGCAGTTACTTCACAAAGAAAGATAAGATATGTAGATGTAAAGTAACATAGGAAAAAATCCTCCACATCATAGTCATTAGAGCAACTCTAAACTAAAAGCACAGTGAGTTACCACTACATACTCACTAGAATGACTAAAAAAAAATTAAAAGACCGAGAATGCTGTGTGTTGATGAGTTCATGGAGCAACTAGAACTGTCACATGTTATTGGTAAATATGCAAGCAAGTACAACTAATTTGGAAAACAGTTTAGCAGGTTCTCATGAAGTTAAACGTACACTTTTCATATGATGCAGCTTCCAAAAGAAATAAACATATATGTCTTTACACAAAGACTTGTACTCGATGTTTATAGCCTTATTCATAAGATCCCAAACTGTAGATATCAGCTGGCAAATGGAGGAATATGTTGTGGAATATCTATGTACTGGAATCCTCCTCAGCAAGAAAAAGAAATAAACTACTGACGTATGTAGCAACATGGAAAAGTCCCAATCATTATGCGAAGTGAACAAAGCCAGATGCCAAAGAGCACTTCCTATATGTGTTGTCCATGTATGTGACGTTCTAGAGTAGAAAAAAATATATTGCCAGGGGTAATGGATGGGATTGATGAGAAAAGAACAATATGGAACTTTTCAGACAATAGAAATGTTCTGTAGTTCGGTTGTGATGGTGGTTTTATGACTATATACACTTGTCAAACACACTTAAAATTGGTGATTTTATAATAAGTATATTTCAAAGCTGAAAAAAATTTGTAAGATGCAACGAAAGTGGTTCTTAGAGGAAATTTATAACATTAAGTGCTAGAATTAGGACAGCAGAAAGGTCTAAAAGCAACACCTCAAGTTTGTTCCAACTTTAATGACTTTGAAAAAGAAGAGTAAATTAAACCCAAAGCAAGTAGAAGGAAAGAGTAGAATACATGCTAGTGATGAAGTAGAAAACAAACCAACAGAGAAAATTTACAGATACAGAAATAGACCTTTTGAAAAAATTAACAAAATTGAGAGACCCCTAGCCAGAACACTCAAAAAAAAAAAAAAAAAAAAAAAAAGAACAGGAATTATCATTGTCAGAAATGAAAAGGAATTAAAGAAGGATTGATATTAATCCTATAGACATTAAAAAAATACTAAGAGAATATTATTAAAATATATATGAAAGTAAGAAATCTTTGGAATATGCATATACTTCTCTATTAAAAAACTNAAAAAAAAAAAAAAGAGAGAACAGGAATTATCATTGTCAGAAATGAAAAGGAATTAAAGAAGGATTGATATTAAGGATCCTATAGACATTAAAAGAATACTAAGAGAATATTATTAAAATATATATGAAAGTAAGAAATCTTTGGAATATGCATATACTTCTCTATTAAAAAACTTAAGTTGTTATCAAAATCTTCCTACAAAGAAAACTCCAGGCCCAGATGGTTTTACTGGTGATTTCTTGAGAATAAAGTTGTTGGAAAGAAAATTAGAAAGTAAAGAATAAAGAAAATTAGAGATAATCTAGCTTGCTCACTTATGGGTAAGGCTCATTTATAAGCTATATATGAAGCCCTTAAGTGGCTTGCCCAGTGTCACTCAGTAATTGGCACTAATAGGTCTTAAACTCATTTTAGTGGTATTTTCACCATACCATGTCACCCGTAAAGATTTCATTATATAACTGGGCTTAGAGAGAAAACCAATTACAGTATATGTAATTATAATGATGATTATATAGCTGTTCTTATTTTTGGCTGTGTACTATTCAGACCAATTTATTGGAATCTCCCTGTGGTGAAGATAAAAACACCTGAACATTTTCTTTGTTATCCTAATATTCACAAACAAGAATCCATATCAGCCAGGAAAACAGAATCCATACTAGTTGTTTCAATAGAATGGATTTAATATGAAAATTTCTAATACAGGGTATTAGAGAGCTTGAGAGAGCAAAAGGGAACCCTGAAAGTATGAAGAGATGGTAATTCCAGGACACGAGAAACAAAGGAAAGGAGGGAAGTGGTTGGTTCATTAGAACCCACATACTGGAAGGAGAGCCCTCCCCTTCCCCAGTGCTGGGCCTTAGACCTTTGCAAAGGGCCACTGGCTGGCTTTTGCTCGTAGTTCAGAGAGCAAAGAAGTAGCATCCCAGCCAGAGAGTGCAGGGAAGATTAAGGAAAGGAGGAAGGTGAAAAAGGGATTCTCTAAATCTGTGTTTGAAGTCCTGGGGGCACTTTCACAGCTTCCTTCAAAGCAGCCCATGCATGGAACTAATTAGAATCAACACAAGAAAAGCTTTCAAATAATGAACAGTGGTTTAGAATACCAACCAGGTTTCAAGAATTAGCGTCGGGGTAACACCCAAGTTGGGCAGACTAGAGGAGCACTATCAAGTCTTTGAAAACTGAATTGTTACTCAATCACAAAGATGGGTCAGGGCATACATTCTGAATAAATTGTTCAGGATACAATTCAAAATTACTCATCATTTCCAGAATCAGGAAAATTGCAACTTTTATGAGATGCCAACACTAAGTCAACAGATGCCAACACCAAGATGACCCAAATATTGGAATTATTTGACAAGGATTTTAAAACCACTGTCATAAAAGAAGAATTTATAAGCACTTATGAGCACTATTGAAACAAATGGAAAAATAGAAAGTTGCAACAAAGAAACAGAGATACAAAGAACAACCAAATGGGAATTTCAGAACTGAAAATTAAGAACCCGAAATTTAAAATTCACTGATGGGCTTAGTAGAGGAATGAAGATAACAGGATAAAAATCAGAGACCCTGAAGATAAATCGGTAGGAATTATCCCATCTGAACAACAGAGAGAACGTACATTGGAAAAAAATGAACAGAGCCTCAGGGACTTGTGGGACAATCACAAAAGATATATTTGTGTCATCAGAGTCCCAGAAGAAGAGAAAAGAAAGAATGTGGTGAGAGAATATTAGAAGAAATAATGACTGAAAACTTCCAGAGTTTGGCACAAGACATTAAACTTACAGATTCAAGAAACCAAAGAAGCCAGAGACATCCAAAGGGTAAGTTGTATAAATGTACATACATTGTACAAACTGAATAAATGGTGCAAATAGTAATTGGAGAAGGAGACAAAGAAATTGGTACCCACACTCACAAGGAAGGGAGAAAGTCTGCAGAGCTACAGCTCTCTGCACCTATAGCTTGGTCGTGAGAGCATAGTCGATATTTATAGCTTTGTCCTTAGGCTGCCCGCCCTGCATTCTCCTCACACTCTGTACAGACTTTACACTCTGTAGTCATAGATGTAATGAACTTATGAGGCCAATTAGGTAAGATGAGTTATCTTGGTGCTTTTAATTTATTTTTTAAGTTTTTATTTAACTTCCAGTTAGCACACAGTGTAATATTATTTTCAGGTATACAGTGTAGTCATTTCACAGTTCTGTAAAACACCCAGCGCTCCTAATCCCCATCACCTACTTAACCCATCCTTGCACCCACGACCCTCCAGTAACTATCAGTTTATTCTCTACAGTTAAACTTTCCATTTTAATATAATTATCCCTCTGCTTGTTCTTCTCTAAAATAGGCATCTCCAATTCTCCCAATATTTTTCTCCCAAAGCCTTTCTCATTTCTGCAGTAAATTCACTACCCTCGTTTAAATTTTTTAAAAAAGTTTAAAGACGGTATTTAATATGCGAGAACCAAAGAGAAACCATGCAATAGACCCTTCTAACTGTGGCTCGAAAGAATGTTTTGAGAAATCTGGAGAGACAGAAGCATCTCCCCCGTTGGGAATTTTTCACAGAGAGGAAGCCAGCAGTCTTTCCAGTATCTAGAGTAGTTTCACTAGTGCTGCAGGGGGCAGGGGACTAGACTGGATGGCTTCCTGAGATCCCTTTGGGTGTAAGGAATCTGACCGATAAAAAGTACAGGCAAACCAGTATGGTGAGCTTGCATGTGGAAGAGCATCAAACGTCTGCGCCTTTATATGGAGTGACAGACCCCTTCGCTTCCCTGTGAAATGTGGCAAGCTGGCACGGGTTTCACAAATGTGAGGGCACTTGGCGGCCTTTTAACTCTTCTGATAGAGGGTCGGAAGCATTGATGTGCAGAGACCATTTTGGAGAGAAGGGCTCCAGGCTTGCTTGAGGAACTAGAGCAGAGACCAAAGGGCAGCTCACAGGCTGCACGCGTCCCAACGTAGGAGAGGGAAGCGTGGGGCTATCGTAAGAGGGGAGAGACAGTGGATCTAGTGGATCTAGTGGATCTAGAAGCCCTTTCCAGAAGATGGCTCACTAGAGCACAGCTTGGTAACGTTAACCGTATCTCCTGAGGTGCGGAGACTGGTGGAGAGGGTGAGGATCGCCATGTACCTGGTGACCCTTCACTGTACCCCGGCTGGTAGGCTGTTTCAAAGAAATGCAGTGCCTGAACATGGAGGGACCTTAGGGCTCATCCTGTCACCTGATGCTTTATTGCCAAGGGAACTGAGGTGCCGAGAGGCACAGTGACTTCTTTAAGGTGTGACACGGACATGGATGGTCGCCTGCAGGTACAGCACAGCAGATCCTGGGCACGGGGCCAGGCCGTGTACGAGAGCCCTCTCTTCTCCCAGTGGCAGCGAGTTGAGCTCACAGACGTTTGGATTCGGGACCTAATACTGGGGATCATTATTTATTTAATTGGAAGAAAGCACAGGGGTCACTTGCCTGTTTATGTGGGTCACACTCCCTGTCGGAGTGCAGAGATTTGGGGAATGTTACGTTCCCTCTCCAGCCCTGCAGTCAGGAGCTGAAGAATGCTCTTCTCTGGCCCTGTGTGTTTCTGACTTGTTTGACAAGCTCTAGTGAGCTACCAGATGTGGAAATTCTTTTCAGCCTGGATAATTTATTTATCTGTTTATGTATTTTACCAGGAAAGTATCTATTGAGTTCTTGATACTCATTTGCAAGGAACCCCTGGGGGAGCAGTAGCAGTGTCTAGTGTTACTTGAGTGTGTGATTCCCCCCCCCCCCCCCAAGTCTGTCTGCTTTTATTTCAGACCTAAAGAGCTGGGAAATAAAATGCAACTTGTTCCTCCTCCCCTCCCCCGCCTTTAAGAGTGTTTCAAACATGTGGCAGAAAATGAGCCAGGCAGACTTGGCTGAATGTATGAGCCTGTGAATTTATTTTTCCTTTCATACTTTGATCCTCATTTCCAACCATAAAAATTATTAGTAGCACTTAAGTGCTGAACATTTTTCACCTGAGAGATGTGAAACGCTCTTGGCTAATAACACTGGTTATAAAGTCAGTACTTCATGTGTGGATGGGAACTGCTGTAGAGCGGCTGTGTGTTGTTAGGCACACAAAATGCCGATGCCTTCCTCTCACTGGCTGGGTATACTGTAGGTGGCAGAGGCTGGTTGAACCTCTTGGGTGCTAATAAATTTTGAGAATTTAGTTGTATCATTCTGTTGGGGTAATATCATTACTCCCTGGGGTAATGGCAAGTACATACTCCCAAAGAATCATGGCAAGACAGCAAGGTAGCATAGAATGCCTACTTGTTCTCTGGAGAACATACAACCACCTCTGAGTGGGCTCCTGGTCTAGGAAGAACTGAGAGGAAAGGCACCAAGGGGAGAGTGAGTTTGGTGTGTGTGCTCGCACGGGGTCGGTGAGAAGCAGATTGACCTGAGGAGGGTGGAAGTTGTGTGTGCATTAACAACGGAAGCCAGCTTGGTTAGGCAGCGTAGGGCCAGCTGAAAAGCTCAAGATGGTAAAAAGAGGTATTGTAGGTTTGTGGGAATGTCTGGGCCAAAGCAGTCAGCTCACAGGATGAATTTGAAACGAATTCACTGTCGCTAAGGACAACAAAGGCCAGGTGGATAGAGGTGGACAGTCTATAGACTTAATGTTCAAATGGATCAAAGAACCAAAGAGAAGGAAAAGACGGGCTATCCCGTAGCTCGTATGTCATTTGTGATGAGGGAGCTTGGCTAATTGAAGAATTCCAGAGTTGAGGCTCTGTATCACAGTTATGTTTGAAACAGAATTAGTAAAATTTGGAGATATTTATATATTCATCCAGAAAGAGCACACAGATGGTATCATCTGTGATGCTAAGTAAACTATCCCACCTTTTCTCTCCTGGCTAGAGGAGCTGAGAGGTGAAGACAACCTGTCAGGGCGTAGAGTTCACAGTAACCTCTAGCAGATTATTTAGAGAGAGAGAGACTATTTCTGGCCTGTTTGTTTCTCTCCAAGCTTTCTGCCAGTGAAAGGGCCACAGACACCGGCCCTGGGGAACAAATAAATGTAAAATAAGTGTTGGACTGAGTCTAAAGATCGTTTCTCATAGACTTGTGGTTATGATCCTTTCAATAGGTTCCCCGTTCTCCTCCATGGATGTGCCCAGATCCCTACATCTGAAGATGTGCTCAGGTCTGCTGAGATCCCAGGGGGCTGACTCCAGAGGAGTTTTCCTGGATGGCACGTGGAACTCACCCTGCTGTGGGCTCTAGTGCATGCTTACCCTTTGGGTTCATCTAGGGCACCAAGAAACTCAGTTTTGAAACAGCCAAGATGGATTTAAAAAAAAGAGAGAGAGCGCATCCCTAACGGAGGGCCCAGAATGCAAGGGACACCTGTGCAGTGGGCGGATAATCTAACTCCTGGAACCTTCTTGGCCTTGGGAAAGAACCAGCACCATAGATTCTCGTTCTTTGACTTCTTGGTTGACTCAGATCCTTGAGCGTTCACAGCATCTGACCTAGTGGGGACTGAGAGATTCCAGTAGTTCCTCCTCTTCTCTAGGTGATGGACTGTGCACATGGCCACCAGGACCAGGATTCACTGTGAGCTGGGCCCACTTTTGGCAGGCACAAAGCCAAACCGGGCAGCATTTGTGCTGCATCTGACACTCAAGCTAGAGCCGAAGTGGAGCTTCTTAGAATTGTACGTTTCTTAGGTCCTGTGCTGTGCCCTCCTCATCAGTTACTGGAGAAGCAGATGGCTGTAAGCCCTTTGGGCCGTGTGTAGTATGTCTGAGTAAGTGACAGTACGTTTCCTGAGCCGGGCCGTAATACTACTACGGTGGTGAATATTCAAAAAGACATCTGTCCGTCTTTCCTTCTGTGTTTCAATTTTCCTATGGCCCCCAAAGAGTGGGCATTATAGAAGCCGCTGTCTTCAGAAGAGGCCTAGGCCAGACGGCTCATTTGGGTGACTGTCCATGCCCAGAAGGTGTAGTCAGAGCCTCCCTCAGACCAGACCCCTGGAAGACTGTGGCTCTTTCTTAGAGTGTTCTGTCCCTGGGGTGTTCTTAGTGCTGCGGGCTCCGTTTTCAGCCTGGAAGAGGACCCCGAGGAATCTGTTAGGTCTGGGCTATCTCCAGCTTGTGCTGATTTACACCCGGGGCTCCTGGGAGCCAGGGAAGCCATGCCTGTGGGCCACTGCTGCAGCCAGAGCTGCTGAAAGAGGAGCCGAAGCCGCGGCCGGTAGCCCACCGAGGTGCTGAGAGGAGCTGCGCTCAAGTTTGACCTCTCAGAGCTCTTCTAAGGCGTCCAGTCCCCACTGGAGAATAAGTCAAACAAATGTTAAGGAAAGGAAATCGAATATGTGTGCTGAACGTTGGAGTAACATCTGAGCGTTTTAAAAGAGTGCCCAGTTGGGAATTACAATCGAGTGACACTTTTTTCTTCCCCACTGAGCAAATTAAAATGACAAGCTCAGAATTTATTTACCTAGCCATTAATGAAACGTCAAATGTTCCCTGTCCCAAAGAGGGGGGAGTGTGCTGCCTGCTGGCACACCTTCCCACTGAGGTGTCCCCTCCTTACCGACTTGCATCCCAGATAAGGCAGGTGAGTCGGTTTCATTAGATTCATTTTCCCTAAACGCTTATTCTGTGCGGGGCAGTACTGGGGCTCCTCTGACCTTGCCACGCACCCCACCGCCCCCCAGCATCCCTCCCGTCGGCGGCACCAGCGGGCCCACCTGGCCTTGTGGCTCCTTGCCTCAAAGCGTTGATGCTTATAATGTGGGATCATTATTTTAAAGAGGTGTTGGTACCCTTGATGGTTTAAAGAACCCATACTTTACCTCCCCCCATTCAAAAAGAGATATTTGCAGTGATGTTCCAACTTGAAGGGATCCATATGTTTGAGGGTTATTGTTCCAAAAGCTGCCTGTTGGCTCGTTGGGATTGATTACAGGCATTGGCTGCTCCAGGAATTCAGAGCTTCAGAATTTGGCTTATGATTTGGGTATATGGGGAATTTGTCTTGCATGGGCTGCTTATCAGCCTTGATTTTGATAGAGTTGCTTAAGGGAGGCGTGGGGGCGGGGCTTGGCACAGGGCCAGGGGAAGCCTTAGCAGCATCCAGGCTATGAGTGTCCCCAGCGTCTGTAGCTTTCCAAAGAAAATTCAATATTGTTCCCCAGTGTGGACCTGCATCCTTCTCTGCCGGTGATAAACCTGCTTGCAAAATCATGAATTGGAGACAGTGGTTGTTGATTGCTGCTGCCTTAAACCTAGCAATTCCACATTTTGGAAGAATAAAAAGAAAGCAAGCTTAAGGGATCAGAGTAGTCCCCTGACTTTAGAACGGTCATGACTGGGAACAATGGGTCTTTAGAAAGCAAGGCTGTTTATAGCTCCCCTCTCAGATCAGATTTGTGTCTTGGTGCTCGAAAATTGGTGCCTAGGGTTCATGTTAATTGTGCTTGTGGTACGTTTGCTACTCTCTGTTGACGGGTTTAGATAAGGCACTGGCAACCTCAGTTTCTAGGTTCCCAACCAGCCTTTGAGTTGGATGGAAGATGTGAGGGTTGGGGAGAGGTCCTGATCACATGACACTCTGCCCGCTTCTCACAGCCAGGCCCCTGATTATACCCACGGCCTAGATCTCTGAGACTGGATCGAAAAGCTCCCCTGATATAGAGCAATCCGTTCAGGCACGATTGTGTCTGCCCTGTTTACTGTTCTGTGCCTAGTGCTTGTCACCTAGTGGGTGCTCAGGAAATACTTATTGACTGAAAGAGTCAACGTACTGTGTTTGGACATGAATTTTCTGTAACATATAGTTTCTATGAGTAAAATTTCTTGTTGTTCAAAGTTAAATGATGCCCTATTCTGTATTCAGTGAGAGAATCCAAGTAGAGGTCTTACTTGCCAGCCCACTCATAAACACTTAGCAAAGAGTAGTTTTGTACTCATTACTTACCTGGTTGAGAGCAGTGGGAATCTCAACCTACACTTTGTAGTTCTCTTAAGATGAAATCCATGAAGTCTTTTCCTTATTCCCTGGCCCCACCCCAAACCCAGAAGTACTCTTCCCATCCTCTTAACTCATTTTGTGCTTTTTCCTGCATCCTTGCTTCCTTTCATGTCTAGCTTTTGATGCATATGTCATTAGCTTTTCTAAATGGTAAGGTCCTTAATAACAAGATACATGCTTTATTTTTATATTCCTCCTTTGAATTATAAGACAGTCCCTAAAAATTATGCTGAGTGAAAAAAGCCAATCCCAAAAGGTTGTATATTATGTGATTCCATTTATATAACCTTCTTGAAATTGTAAAACTATACAGTGGAGAACAATCAGTGGTTGCTAGTGGTCGGAGGGGAGGGTGCATATAAAAGATCAGGTGGAGAAAGCTTAGTATCTTAACTGTGTCCATGTCGATATCATGCTGTGATATCACACTGTAATTTCGAGATGTTGCCATTGGGGGAAACAGCACACAGGATCTGTGTTCATTACATCTTACAACTGCTTTCGAATTTGCAATTATCTGAAAATATTTAATTAAAAACATAGTGGGGGCTTAGTAAGTATCTGTGAATGGAATGCATAAATGAATTTACAAATAGGAATACCCCTATCTCTCTAACCCTAAACTTTGTGATTTTAGCTTGTTGTTGGATTGCCTTTCTAGAACTTGATATTATGATTAATATTCTTACGGTAGATGGAATGGATCTAAATTTTTTTTAAAAATGCTGTTGAGGACATCTTTTGTTTTGACAGTTTGGACTTTAAAAAAATTTTTTTAATGTTTATTTATTATTGAGAGACAGAGCATGAGTCGGGGAGGGGCAGAGAGAAAGGGAGACCCAGAACCTGAAGCAGGCTTCAGGCTCTAAGCTGTCAGCACAGAGCCCGATGCAGAGCTCAAACTCACTGACCATGTGATCATGCCCTGAGCCGATGTCAGATACTTAACCGACTGAGCCATCCAAGCTCCCCAACAGTTTGGACTTTATTTTAGTTTTTGCTTTTCATTATAAGCCACCCCAAGTCATTTTTTGGAATGCATGGGCTGTAAATAAATAATTTGTAAGATTCCCTCAGTTGCTTGATTCCCCAGCAGGAGGTTGTGGGGTTCAAGCAGACATGTGAGGAGGGCATTATGCTGAAGCAACTCCTGCATAATTCGTTGGGAACCACAGTGATGCCTCAGCCAGGATGCCAGAGTTCATGGTCAGTGCTACTTCTTCCCTCTATACAGTGAGAGGAAAACAAAGTTTGGCCAGTTTTGCAGTAGTATCCCTGATTGCAGCGATGGAAGTCACCAGGGCAGTGTCTTGAAGTAAGGAGAGTTCTGCCTTGCTGGACAGAGCTCATGTCATGGTCCCCTGTCTTTTAGATTGAGCCTCACCAAAATCACCTGGATATTCTGAAGCCTCAATAATAGTTATCTATAAAAACTAAAGTCTCCATTTCCACTCGTGCAGGGTTTAAAAATTTTTTAAATGTTTTATTTATTTGTGAGAGAGAGAGAGAGTGTGTGAGCAGGGGAGGGTCAGAGAGAGAGGGAGACACAAAATCCAAAGCAGGCTCCAGGCTCTGAGCTGTCAGCACAGAGCCTGACGCGGGGCTCAAACCCACAAACCACTAGATCATGACCTGAGCCGAAGCTGGACGCTCAACCGACTGAGCCACCCAGGCTCCCGCCCCCCCACCCCCACCCCCCACCACTCGTGCAGGATTTAAAGAGAGTAACCATTTGACTTAGGATCACTTTTCTTCTTTTAACTTCATTAAACAATCCCCTGGGACCAGACTAGAAAGAGTATCCCCCGCCCCCCAGAGCTGAGGTTATGGAAATAAAATTGATTTCATGTTCAGTGTGTCCTGAGGAGTATGAGAGTGGAAAACCCACCACCTGGTCCTGACCCATCCCCTACCTCTTCTGTCCCCTCAAACTCACCTCTTTCCTTTTCTGTGTTATTCTCTCTCAGGAGATTCATTTCCTCGTGAAAAACAGTAGTGGAGCTTAATCTTTGATTCAGCTGCTTTGTGCTTGTATTGCCTTCTCTGCCCAAGCCTCACAGATGTGACCAGCTTCCAGCAGGCCTGCGATGTCATCTGCACGGTCCCACTCATTCGCTGCACAGCTGATGGGAGTTCCTTCTTTTCATGGTGTGAGCATGTGGCTTTCCTTGCTAAATGGGAACCACATTCATGAAGAGCCTTCGGCTTTTAGAGGACGAATACCAAGGGGGAGCACAGGGTTTTGTGGGTTTTGCCACCTCCTCTCCCTGCCCTGCTCCAGTCTCAGCATGGTTGGCACGCGTGCGTGACTCTTTCTTTGTCTGCACCTGCGAAGAACACCGACACGGAACGCCGTCCCAGACAGCGCCAACTGTCTGTCTCCCAAGCCCAGCGCCGAGCTTGGTGAGATGAGGCACTTTTCGCCTCAGAAGAGTGGGAAATCCTGCGCCTTCAGCGCAGATGCCCAGGCTGGGAGTTAGGCTCCAGTTTGGGCTCGAGCTGACAGTGTAACGTTGCGAGGGCTGCTTCTTCTCCAACTCTGTTTTCTCATCTGGGCAGTGAGGGAGCTGCTCTGAGTGAGCTCTGCCTTCCAGATAGTCTCTGGTTGCAGATCTCTAGGGGCAGGGGTCAGCAGCTCAGACTGCCAAAGGGTGAGTCTTCTTACCACGCACAGAAGGTACCTGGTTGTGCCATTAGATGATAGGGTACAGATAAGGGTGAGGAGAATGTGTTAAAGCCACCTTCTCCAGCAGTGTCTTCTTATTATGGTTACCGTTGAGGGATTAAATAGTATACTCTCTCAACTCTGGCCAACCCCAGCCTGTCTCTCTGTCTTCATCACCCAAGTTTGAAGAAAGAACTCGGCTCCCAGCACCAAGGCACTGACCTCCAGCCAGACTGGGGCAAATAGATTTGCTGCCCAAATCCCAGAAGCCTGCCGATGATCCTGGCTTTCCTGCTTGGCTTATTTCAAGCAAACCCTTGCCTTGGGTTGGAAAAGTCTCTCAGGCAGACTGAAGTGCTCTAACAGGTAAATCTTAATACTTAGCACAGCGCGTACATGTATTTGTCAAAACCAGTCAGCATTAGGGAACTCCAGGTGACAACTTCCGGACTCCCTCGCCTCTAGATGTCTAGCATTAGCATTTAATTGCATCCCAGGCGTGGACGGAGTCTCCTTGGCTTATTGTAAACTGCCACTTTGACAAAAACTACCAACCACCAGCGTGATTAAAAAGCATGAGCTGAAAATGAAGCCAATCAACTCAAGCCTCATTCTACTTCACTTCAGGAAATTCCAAATATAAAAGGTGAGCTTTGTTCCCGGAGGGCTGAGAGTGAATCCGATAACTGGCCCCTCTGTGGAAACTAGCCAGGAACTGGAATGCAGCCAGCTAGCCCTCTGCCATCTGGGCAGCATGCAAGACAAGCCTGAGGGCAGAAGAGCCACGAATCCAAAGGTGTTCGAAAGTCGGGATCCCGGTAGCCCTGCCTCCACTGACCCCGGCATGTGCCCACGGGGTTCGGGCTGGTTCCTGGAGTTCTGTTCCACTCTGGTGGTTAGGGATCCACGCAATGCAGGGGGCGTGTGCGAGGACAGAAGTGAAACCTCGGCCCAGGCTGATGTGCCTTGGGTCCATATCCC